AAAGAAAAAGAAAAAAATGTTGAATTCTTTGTTTAGGAAAAGGCTACCTATTGAGATGTGATCGATAGCTCCCATTAAACTTTGAAGAGGAGCTAATTGAGTAAAAAGAACAGTGGAGACAAGTTAAATTGGGGAATTGCTGTCTGCTCATTAAAGTGAAAGCCACTTAACTTAGAAAAATTGCTCAAACACAATTTTATCTTGATGATTTTCAATCAATATACTTTAGACAATAATTGATTGATAATTAATTGAAAATTGATGAGATGGATTGCACACACACACTTGAATTTGCTAAATTAATTTCTAACTGTGTCGTTAATATTTGCAAGTGAAAATTCATGTTGTGATTACTTCCTGAGAATTAAAATTGACTGACTACTCTTTGGTGTCATGTGTTGTGATATCCCTCGGATCCAAGACACGGGTTGATCCCGAGGGAATATCAAACAATTAAAGTATTTTCAAATGAACACAGAATAGAAATTTAAGAATTTAAATAAGGACACGAAAAGAAATGTAAAATCCTCCAGATAAAAATTATAATTTAATCCTCCAAAACCTTTAAGTTTACAACTTGGGAATCCAACTAGTGGACCCATAAACCAAACTCCAACTGAAACTGAGTAACTGAAAGTAAAATATTCCAAAACTAAATCATGAAGTGAAATCCTACATCGTCGGTAGAATGATTGAGAGTCTCTACTTAGCACGATCAAGCTTGAGACTGGAACCATCCGATACCTGAAAAGAATAATAAAGGAGTGGGTCAGGCCCACGAGTAAGTTCTAATCTAACTGCAATCCATACAGTGACCCGATACGCAGATACACCGTAGACACCTCACAATATCTATCTAGTCCATACATATAAATATATCCACACTAAGAGACATTCACTGGTCTATAATAGGGGTCTCAACCTGAATAGAAAGTAACATGTGAAAACGTACCCAAAGGTGGGCATGAGTACCTAGACCTAACAGGGTACACCTCAACCTATTATAACCAACTACGCATCCACTGCATATACGCACCCTAACCAACGAGTCTAAGACTCAAGCTCATCTCATGGTACCATAAACATATATATAAAGTCCATCCAAAACCAGGTATGTAGTTCAATTATTTATCGAACTGACATACAATAACAAATTAGTTAGTCACTCAACTTATTCAGTTGATATGACTTAACCATCATCCATTAATCCAGGAAGCCACCCAACTTAGTTGCAGTTGATTTGACTTAAACACAATTAGGATTCAATATTTATAAATCCATTCCTTTAATCCGTTAGGTTAGGTTTAGGCATTTTAAGCTAAACCGTCCCTAGTATGTCACCGTCCCATACCGGTGCATACAATCCTCCATATCCTTGTAAATTACATCATATATATAACAGTTTAGTAATTTAAAATCCAAAACTAATATCCAAATAATTGCAGAAAGAAGATTAACAATCTAGCAATCAAAATCCAGTATTAATCCATGTAATTGCATCAAAGAATTTAATATTCTAACAATTAACATCCAAAACATGCATAGTTCAAATTTAATATAACAATGACCCTATCATGTATTTAAAATAAGTTTTATAATAATATTATAGTCCATTAAATCGCTAAATTAGTTTAAACAATTTAGTTCCTTCCATCCGGTAACAGCGTACTAAGTTGTATACTTATCTTTTGTTTTATCTTTTAGCACAGAGCCACACACTATGCCACAAGTCCAATTTATTAATTAAAAGACTTCACTGTGCATTTAAAATAAATTTAGAATCATTTTATAGAACCCTAAACTGTCAGATTAAAACTAGTCAGTAAATCTCTTTCCAGCCGTTAACCGCACGCAAAGTTGTCAAATAGCGTATTGTTAATTCTATTAAAACTAAGGGGTAAATTTATGCAATTCAAGACCTTAGTTACATGTTACACTAATTATTTAAAACCCATTAAATTTCTAAAACTATTCAAGAACCCCAAGTGCCCAAACAGTAACTGAAAAGTCACTGTACGCACAAAATAATGAAAGAGCCTGCTCTGGAAAAATTAAGCAAGCTCAATGCAGCATAGAGCCAGCTCTAAACCACCTTGGAGCCGGATCTAAACAGGTGGGAGCTGGCTCTTGACATTCCAGAGCCGGCTCTCTCCCTCCCCCTGTGAGCTATCTCTCTGTTCTAGCTTCGTTTGCTCCGTTTCTGACCTCTGCTTCAACTCCGGCCAGTTGCAACCTTTCTATTTGGTTTTTAAACTGATCCAAGAATCTTAATTAAGCCTAGAAGCATCCCCCATGACTAGTTTACAGTAGTTGACAACAAGTATAGTAATAACATCTGCTAACATGATAAAAACGACGAACTGAACCCAGATTTTGCAACTACTGTAACAGAATTATTTTAACATACACAGATCATCAAAATATCATATAATAAACATATATTTTCAGTTAATGATCAATTAAACCCTAGAGACTATCTAGGTGCATAGAACACATGCCAACGGGAGAGAGGAAGAAGAGAACTTGCCTGTAGTTTTAGACTTAAAACTTGTCGCCGTCTTCCTAACTTCCGGAAACCACTGCAACACTATCTAGCCTCCTATTACTTCTACTCTTCCCTTTTCCTAGGTCTGACCTTGAAGCCTCAGTCGAAAACCTCACAAACTTGCTCTGCTCTCTCAAAGCCTCACTCTGTAACTTTCTGTATCTATGTTACGTGAGTAGGGTTTTTCCAACCCTTAATACAGATTATAACTATTTATATATAGTCATAAAAATACTAAACCCTAATCCTTGTTTAATTAGAGACAGAGCCCTAATCCTAATCCTAGTCGGCCCACAGAACCTAAATCATATACATATTTGATTCATGTATGACGGCTCAAAGAAAACCCTAACTGAAAAAAGCATATTTAAAACCTTGGTTAACATATTTACATATTTAACCTATTCAAATTAAACAATTAACAAATAATTAAATTTTTAAACAACCAATTTATCAAGTAGTTCAATGTAACAACAACAATTAATTAAATGGCAATTAAATCAAACAAGTCACAAAATACAAATAATTTCAAATAAATCAAATAGCAAACACAAATAAATAATTAACACACCAAAAACGCACTTAAATAATTTATTAAAAATACCGGAACCATCCTTTAAACTTAGGGATATTACATTTGTTCATAGATATCTCTACAATTCTCTGGAAATTTGGATCAGGTATGGACTTGAAAGACTTTGAATAATTGCTCAATGATTTGTTTTTAGTTTTATTTTTTTTTGAAAATTAAAAAAATTTAAAAATATATATATATAGAAAAACTAGAAAAATTCAAAAAGATTTTTGTTTTAGATTATAGTTTTTTTTGGTTTGATTTGATCGTTGAGTGTTTCAAAGTGAGAAGCAATATTTCTAAAATATTTCAAGTTGAGAAACCATACTGTTATGTTCCTACCGGTTTTGACATTTCCTACCGGTTCCAACTTAAAAAAGTTCAAGCTTTATATTACTGAGTGAGCTTCTAAGCCTCAAACCAAAATTGTCTGAACATGAAATGCTTCCCAAATTGTCTCGCAAGGACAAAGGTAGAGGAATTGCATCTTCGCCACCTCCCAAGAGGGCTCGAATGAGAATCTCTATTCGTGAACAGCAAGAGGGTTCAACGGCTTCAAGGGACGCTTCAAGGGATGCTCCTATGCATTCTAGTTCGCCTTCTACTAAGATACCACCTGGGAATCCGTCCGTATCTGACACGGGGAAGATTCAGTTTGCTCGAGACCACTTCTACAATGAGCTTGCTTGGGATGTGTACAATGAAGTATACAAGGATGGTCCGATTAAGTCGGAACGAAATGTCAATTTGAAGAAGCTGGTAGACTATCTTGAGAAGAACAAGTGGTTGGTCTTTACCACGATGGGGAGTTCGTACAGTCCTGATCTTGTTCATTACTTCTACTCAAATATCCGTAAGGTTTATGATTCGGGATATTTTGAGTTGTTCTTGTTTGGGAAGGATTATGTAGTTCATCCTTAAGTGATTAGCTAAGTTCTTGGTATACCTAAGAATATCTCAAACACTGGCTATCGTCTTCCACTTGATCATTCTGGGTTGAAGTGGGATGATATTTGTAATGAGCTATGTGTGCCGGATTCACTAAGATTTTCCGACTGCATTCCCAATCGCTATCTCACAGATGAGGCGGCTATTCTAAATTTGTTTGCCATCTCAAATTTGGGTTACTTTGGGAAGAAAGATGTCATCTCTTCAGATCGTGCAGAGGTACTTTATCTCTTATCTATCAATGCAGAGATATATCTTGATTCTTCTATATATTGACTGATGGTTGCGTACTAGAAGAACAACACCAAAAAGAAGTCATCTCTATTCCCTATAATCATTATGGGGTTATATCAGCACTTTGAGATTCCTCTTCTTCCCCGTGCTCACCAGGTTGAGATTATGTCCGAGATGGATGTAAGGGCGTTCAACAAGTCTAAAACTGCACGAACTTTATCAAGGCAAGCTAGCAGGGGTACAATAGCTTCTACATCATCTCTTCCGGAGGTTATTCAGTTCTTTCCTACCAAGCTAGCATTTAACACACTACAACAAATAAGGGTTTTAATGACGAAATAATTTGTCACTAAAGCTTAAATTTTCGTCACTATATCTCTTTAGTGACGAAATAAGTTTCGTCACTAGGTCGTTGCTATATAATCGTCTCGGTTGATCTATAGTGACGAATTATAGTTTCGTTACTAAATCTAGGCTTTTAGTGACGACAGTTGTTTTGTCATTGATAGGTATACTTTTAGTGACGAAGCTGTTCGTCACAAGGTTGAGGACAAATACGATGCCGTATATGAATTAGTGACGATCAGTTGTTGTCAATATAGACTAGGTTGTGAGGATCTTCTTTTGTCACTAAAGACTTTTTGTGATTAATTTCTATATTATTAGCACCATTTGGTTTAGTCGTTAGATGGCCTTATAAGACTCAAATCTACTGTTCAATTAAATTTCTATACTATATTATATTCATTTCAACACAAAAATTGAAACAGTGTTGAATAAAACATCAAATATCATTACAAAATTGTATTACAATATTCGATTTGATTACAAAAGAGAACTACCCAATTGTACAACACAAATTCATACTAACAAGTAAAAAATAAACTCTCATTCCTTAAAAAATAAAAACACACACACACACAAAAGAACTCTCATGCCTTCATACTAGTCCTCTAATCTTAAAATTCTTCAAACTGTTTATGACTTTATGCACTTCGCCTTTGAATACAATAATTCCACACCAAGTCACTCCAGAAGCTGCAACAAAATTGATTTTTTTTTTTAGTAAATGGAACAATGGGGACTGTGAAAGTCAAACTTAAAAATTAAATAATACTTTGTATTTTCTAAGCAATTAATCTTGATTAAAATGAATTCCTTAAAAGAGATGCATATTATCAACATGAAAAATGAAATAACAAATACAAAGAATTATTTATCTAAGTCATCATCTCAACAAGTTCTTGGAAGTAACCTCATTGTTAGGGCTGCCCATTGCTTGCATTGAATTTTACTTAGCACCAACTGAATTTCCTGAGAAACATCAAATATCTCAATTATTACTTCTGTAAAACAAACACTAAAGGAAAGAATATTTATCACACAATAGGCTTACATGAAAGGTAGTCATTCTTCAAACTGTTTATGACTTTATGCATTTCGCCTTTGAATACAATAATTCCACACCAAGTCACTCCAGAAGCTGCAACAAAATTGATTTTTTTTAGTAAATGGAATAATGGGGACTGTGAAAGTCAAACTTAAAAATTAAATAATACTTTGTATTTTCTAAGCAATTAATCTTGATTAAAATGAATTCCTTAAAAGAGATGCATATTATCAACATGAAAAATGAAATAACAAATAAAAAGAATTATTTATCTAAGTCATCATCTCAACAAGTTCTTGGAAGTAAACATCAAATATCTCAATTATTACTTCTGTAAAACAAACACTAAAGGAAAGAATATTTATCACACAATAGGCTCACATGAAAGGCAGTCCTAATCCAAATTCTTTAAATAAGCCAGTTATTGATAGAACACCAGAGGAATATATAACAAAGAGAATATATAACTTAAAAAAAGATAAGAAGGAAATAAAACAAGAGAGATATACAAATGGCTAAACTAATCCAACAAAGATGAAACAAAAAAGCAAACAATCAGATGAAAGATTTGAAACCAAAAAATAAAATATACATCATCTGTAAATGTCAGCTGACAAAAAAAGAAAAGAAAAAAAAAAGAGCATAATTTTAAGAACCCGCTCCTACACACACATTCATTTAAACCCACAATATATACATATGAGAGAGAGAGAGAGAGAGAGTAAAGAAGCAATATATATATATATATATATATACATATAGATATATATATTGACCACAATAACCTATTTTTTGTTTTCCTTGAAGTGATATGCACTTATGCAATGCCACAATTATGATGCTTGCCGGAATGGTAAGACTTAAACCAAAAGCAAAAAAATTTAGTCAACTTAGAGATTTTATTTCGTAATCACATTGTTTTCTAATTTATGTGAGAGTTTAGTTTGAGGACACAATGCCAGAAGCAAAAGACAAGGAAGCTCACCCAATAACAGTTAACCACCATTATGAACTAACTTGTGAAACCAAACCCATGCTACCACATCCGTAGATTAGAACAATGTATTTTGAGACCTTCAATAGGCATCAAAGTGTTCCCTTGCTCCATCCTAGAAAAAAAAAAAAAAAAAAAAGAGTAAATGCAATAAAAATAAGTTAAACTATTAAGAAGCGTAAGAAATACCAATGTACCTTATCATAATGAGTATCAGTCATCATCACACACCATATGTGACATTTCACAAACTATATGGAAGGTCACATGAGAGAAGTTTCAATATAATAATAATAATAATTTAACTAAGTTTGGGTAGAGGGTATTCCCACTCCCACTCTTGTATATTAAAAGACTTAATACCCACTAACAGGATTGGCTTGAGCATACAATCTAAATGGCTCAATTAATAATACTACTTTAACCAATTGGATAACTATTTATTTTCCACTTATGGCCTAGTTCATCACTAGCTAAATCTAAAACAAAAATGATAATGGATAATTTTGTTGAGCAAAAAACCTTTTAATACTTAAAAGAACACATTGGATTTATACTCAAAATATATGTACATATTAAATTACTCATATTCAAATCAACTCTAATCTATGCTCTAGTGCGCTATTTTAGCTTGATGGATTGCCTGTTCTTCTTGAATGGAATGAATCAATGAGAATGGACAGAGGGGAACGGCAAATTAGAGATTCGTAACTAGTTGAAATTCTGACTTCTATATAAGCGATTATGTGTGAACGATTTCCTCGCTTTCTAGTTCGCTGATTGATTGAGGAGAAAAGTGGAATCAATTAAAATGCGTAGGCAAGAGAAAGACTTGAAAACATAAGATTTGGGGCAGCCATAGGTAGACTATGTATTGAGAAGTAGGGCTTCGGTAATGGGGGAAGATAGGGAGATAGAGAACATCAAAATTGCAGATGTAAATATATGACAAGATGTATAATTAGGGGGGCTTTCTTTGACAATCTAGGGTTTTACAACTATAAAACAAATTAAAACGTACCTCCAGAGTCCACATGCAACTCATATTCGGCCATGCTAATTGATGGAGCTCAAATTCGGCCATCTTGAACACGTTTTCAGCCAGCAAAATTGAAGGCCTATCCATGGATTGGGAGCTAGAGGTTGGGCGATCATGAAAGTTGTCGAACAGGTGACAGATATGGGTTACTTTATTTAGTGGGTGAAAAGTGGTTGAAAGGGAAGCCATTGAAATGGGTGGTAGCAAAGATGATGTTGGGGTAGATGGTGAGGGTTAGGAGAATCTTGTGAATGAAAAGCATATAATAGGGAAAAGACTAATACAACGCAGTTTGGTTTGATTTTTACTTATTCCTATATTATAAAATTGAAATATACCACATTATTAGAAACGACACAGTATTGCGCTAAAAATAGCAACGAAATATTTTTCGTCATTGAGTTCTTAAAGAAAAATCCCATGGAAAACATTTTTTGACAATGCGGGAATGCCAATCGAGTTTCCCACCGAGCTTTTAGCTACAAAATAATCATTTCGTCAATAAAAACTATACTTTTTGGGATGAAATAATAGTTTGTCACTAAAAATACCATTATTAATGACAAAAGAAGCTTTGTCACTAAAACATCGTCACGAAAGGCCCAATTTGTTGTAGTGACACTTTGGATGTCAACCTTCTCTACTCCTTGCTTCTTCAGAATCAGAAGGCGTTAATGGATGCCGTATTGGATCTTCAAGAATAAGTTCGTTTGCTTAAGGAGTAGAGGACAGGTAGTACATCCAAGGACGTATACAAGCCAGCTCCTCCAGATCCGTCACTTGTAGCTGAGGATGATAGGGATGAGGAGGCTGAGACATAGGAGGATGATGAGGATGACGGGGATGATGATGGTGGCAGTGGGAGTGACATTGATGGTGATGATATGGACATTCCGACATCTACAGTTTCGTTTGCTAGAGATGATCCTGATGCTTGATTCTATAGTTATATCATTCATGCATCTATTTTTTTTTTGCTTAGTTTATACATTGTCATGACTCGATATTTTGGTTATTATCTTTTGCTTTCTGATATGTATTAAACTTTTACTTGGTTTACTCTGCTTTAGTGTTATTTCTCTTTGATCTAAATTTGTCAATTTTGTTCCAAAAAGGGGGAGGACAAGGTTACATTAAGGGGGAGAAAATATCTAAAATTTTTGGATAATTAATTCAGGGGGAGTTTTTAACTTGTTTTATTAAACTTTCACGGGTAGTTCTGCTTGTTTCATGTGCAGGAATTCAGATGACATTTTGTCAAATAGCAAAAGAGAACAGAGATAAACAAATTACGTATTTCCTTAAACAATTGTAATTTATTTTTCTGTTTTGGATAGATTATAAATTGTTTTTAGAGTTTTGTTACGAAATTGCCAAATGGGGAGATTGTGAGATATATTTTTGTAAATTGGCATATTTCGGTAACAAAACAGTCCTAGTCGAGTTGTACTTTTAGTTACTTTATCAGACTTGACATCGACTGTGGAATTCAGAGGTTGACGGAAGAGGAAAGTTTTGTTGATCGTTGAAAAGGCAAGAAGGACGATTTAGACATCATTTCCCACTTAGGACACAAACATATACATGGTATATTTTCAGAGTTCCAAATATGAGTTTGGATTCTGTCAAGTGGGAACAGGTTCGAGATTTGGGAACTAGTTCCAGAAGCTACACTTCGAAGATTACTCACTGTCCTTTGTTACCTTGTTCTGCTGAATCCCTTTTTGATTCCACTTTCCTTCTAAAGTCCTATGCACAAGATTTCCTTTATTTTATGAAGGAATAGGACTTTGCAAACCTTTATATAAACCATGTCATACACAAGGTTTATTTCACGACTTTTAATCATTATTCATATATCATACAGAGCCTTAGGAAGAAAATCACTCCCAGAAAATCAAAGTTGATTTTTCTGTAGTCTTCCTAGAACATACACAAATTCACGTAGTTAGGTTAGAGTTGTGGAGTTCGAATCCTGATCGTGATCATACAGTTGTATTAACATCGATCAGACAAAGCAGATCTTCTTCTAAATCATTCAGACGATTGAAGAACAGAAGTAAGCGCAGTCACACTTTGAAAGGATTGGAGCATTCGTAGAGTGCTGTCTGATCTACCTACTACTCTTCTACAAATATCAAGTGTCAATCTAAGGTCAAGTTGCTATTGGACAAGGAGTCGCAAAGCCAGAGGATCGTCAGCTGTTGGTGTGGTGTAAAACGATAGGGTGTAAGTCAGAGTCAAAGTTCGGTATACTTTGTTTCAAGCATGGTGGATTGGTTTACTTTGGACTGCACAGTCCACAAGGTTTTTCCCATCACAGTTGACGTATTTTATCAACTGGGGTTTCCTCGCTAAAATCCTGGTGTCATCTCTAACTTTATACTTTACTTTATTTTATCTGTATGTGATTAATTATTTAATTGCTAAAAAATAAAATAAGTAAAGATCGTTAAGAACACAGATCTGTTTTATAAAACAAACAAAAACTTTCTGAGTAATTTTTGCTGCGTACGACTTACAATGATTGCCCAAAGGTTCCACTTTTTGGCCCAAAAACTTTGGATCGGATTCTTTGCAGGGTTGTCCATAGAAGAAAGAAAGTATGCAAGCTTTGAAAATGAAATTTCTCCCAAGAAACTAAGCAAAAAATGAAGAGTTGCCAGTTGCTGGTTTTAACACAAATAAGTGGATATATATAGTCCAGCTCTTGCACAAGTGGCTGTGCTTGTTGATGGGCTCTAATAGAACATCATCATCACAAGCAGAAGAATAAAGAAACAGTCTATGTAATCACTAATGGCAAGAAGAAAAGTGTCATGAAATACGAGGACTAATCACCTTATGATAGATCAGAAGGAATAAAAGAGCTAGTGCTGTCAAATGCACAAAGTGGAGAAAGCGTTATAGAAAAAAGGTACCAGAGTCTTGAATAGGCGAAATGTAAAAATAAGCGACACACACAGTATTCAAGAGATCAACTGGCAAAGACTAAATCCCTTAGCGGTTGTGAGAGGCAATTCGGGACAGAAAGGCAGCTACAAACTTGTTGCTCATACGAACACAAAATGTGGGAGCTTGTTTAAAAGTACATTAGAAAGATTGTACCAAACTGTTCACCTGGTAGAATTCTTATTAAGCAGAAATGTCAAAGGCTGAAATGAAAGCTCTTCTTGATCATGGGAAATCTACTTTATGTAAGAAAGGCAAACAGAGTTATCACTGAATGTATATGATTCATAGGTGTTAGTGGACATTTCGACTGCTAAATTGCTAGTTCTATGGAAGCTCTGGTTAGGAAATTCCTGAGATTGTTCAAAAGAGCACTGTAATTTCAGAACCTTGTGCACAAGCAAAAGTCTCTGGTTTATTTGGTTCGGAGTTTAAACACTACTAAGTCCATTTCTTAACTCCTTTTTATCAAATATTAGTCACCAAATCCAGCAGTATGAATTTTCGTCTGTGTTTTTCATAGTAATCATTGTACAGTCACATTTTAACGAAATAGTATGTAAGGGTTTGGATTTGTCTCAACCCTTTCTCTTGCTTAGGTTCTACCAGTTATGGGCACTTTTTCTAGAAGAACACGACAAATGGTTACTCTAACTTAACTATAAGTCCATATCAAGGAGACTAATACTATATTTTAACACACAATTAGACTGATTTGATTAGACATGTTTGCCTTGAATTATCTTCCAAATTCACACTTCAACTAAATAATTGTAAATTTGATTTGGTGATTTGTCAGGACCATTGCGTGCTTAAGCAAATATATTAGTGCATCAACCACAATATTTATTTTTGGGTTGGATAACCAATAAAATATAAATTAACTATCATATATAGTATATATTATTTAGCCTGATCTTTGAAATACGGTATTATTATTATATTTTTTTTGATAAATTATGTTTAGTTTTCTATACACTTTTTTATTATTATTATTTGAAAGATTTTCTATACACTTTATTGAATTTAATGTTGACAAGTTAACAAGGTAGCATGATTGTGGTTACAAATTTATTATTATTATTTTTTCTGTAAGTATGATACATGTATAGGAAGTGACATTATATAATATCATTTTTTAAGTGATTTTTTTTTATAGGACCATTATACATTCATGACTCTGGTTGCTCGATGCATAGAAAAATAATGGCTAGTATATATATTAAATACTAGGGGTATTTTGGTCACCAAAATGGGTATTTATGTCATTACGTTAAGAACTAATTTTTACATGACACACATGTACTGATTATTGATAATCAACCACAAATATGTAATGCATTGCTGCAAGTACAAGTTTCTACACATCCATATTTATATAACATATTATTCATTATTTTACATATCACTCATAAGAACTCCCCCCAAACTTTATTATAGCTAGTATTTGAAATACCAATCCATGACACTTTGTGCCTAGCTATTTCTGGAGATGAAGAGTTTCAATATCTTTGGTGGCATTAACACAGAAGTCCATCATTGTAGTTGGAAGGGAATTTAACACTGATTCAGTTCAGAAATAAACTTATAAATAGATAATAAAAACTCAAACAAAAATTCCCTAATATGTTGGAAGGGAATTTAACTTACAAATACTAAAATTTGGTGGATGCAAACAAATTATAAATTATACCAACACAATATCTGTAAGTATTTATCTTTATAAACCCAAATAATTTACATTGAGTAATAATGTGTCATCCTTCGCAATCTTTCACTTCTCTCTCTTCCTTCTTATAACTTTCTTTTTCCAGCCATTCAGGTTCCGATAAATCACAGAACCTGAAAGAATAATTTTTTGGAAAGAGATGAAAAATGTACCAGTGGATTGTCACGGTTTAATTCTAAACTTTGGGTTGTGAGTCAGATTTAGCTTTAAGGATTTATTCATCATAAATTTCTAAAACCAATTGGATTGATGGTTCCATGGCTGAAGAATTTGCAGTTCAAACGTTATGGAGAACTTACAGTCCAAATGGTCGAGTTTTTCAACTCGGATATCTCGGAGTATAAATACTAGGAGTATTTTGGTCACCAAAATGGGTATTTATGACATTTCATTAAGAACTAATTTTTACATGACACACATGTACTGATGAGTTTTGGTAGCTAAGGGTGGACTGCCTCCTGCAAAAATTTGAATAGTTGAAGAGGATTTCTTCTAAACATTAAGTAGTTGAAGAGGATTATCCTTCAATACATAGATTA